CTACTGTGCTCGCATTGTGATGCCCAACTAGAATCTGCTTTTGGAATTGCGTGGTAGTTGTTTTTTTTGAACGGAGTTGTGAAGCTTCGCTTCCTCTCATCTCATGCGCTATCGTATGGAATCACCCTCATGTAGAAAACAGGGTCGAGAAGAAGCTGATGGTTGGTGCGCTTCGCCTTCAGCGGGTTGCTTCTACGAGCTCTCAGCTAAAAAAATTCCCGTAATGCCGTTGCAGCTCAGCGGCTCTTCCTTTTCCCCTGCGAAAAAGGTTCGCGAGCTGCTCCTGACAAGTCAGGCACCTTGAAGCCTGACAGAATAGTTTGGCATGTTTCGATTCCTTTGTCAGTGCGAGTAATTCAGAATTCACTGTAGTGCTGTGATTCAGGTGACTACGAAATTTGCATTGCGGTTCCATATCAGGCAAAAGTGCTCTTCCATTTGTTCGCGTTCAATCCGAACGAACAATTAGCGGAAGTAGGCAGAATCGCCGAACTGACAGAACTCGAAAAAAACTTAAGTGTGAGTTGTGCATTTTCGACAATTTTCCATCATTATCGATTTCTTCTTTCTAGAAAGCGCTATGACCTCTCATAAACCCGGCTATAAATATAACTACTCCATAAATTCTAAACAATCACGGTGAGTTTTTGATAGGCGTTGAGAGCTCTTTAAGAATTTCGATTATTATTGCGGCTGCGCACCTTTCGCCGCGTCCTCGCAACGCGGACCTTCTGGAAACTAATAGAATGATGTGCCTAGGCAGCTTCTAGTGGACATAAAGGATAACAGGTTACCATCAGAGATCAGGTATTTTGGGCAATGCGCATTCCATTTCCGTAGAAATATAGTGGCGTTTTGTATACAAAATGGCCCACACAGTGAATTGCGGTGGCAGGCCGATGTACAAGTCAAAATTTTATCCTTCCAGAAGAGTCTGGTACCGACGTGTCACCTATGAGAGAGGAAGGGTTTGGTTGGACCAGGCCAGAGCGCGAGCGGTGCTGTTCATCGTACTGTTCGTGAGTAAACGAGCCATTTCATTGCACCATCTCTACCCTGTAGTAATAAAGCTTTTCCGGCACTGATAATTTTACCGAAAATGGTGAATGTGTCCCTCTTTGAAACAAACGGGGGGTGGGATTTATAAGTTAGTGTGTACCTTTGGCTTCCAACCTTAGTCGATTACCAATTAAACCGCTTCATATTCATTTTTGAGGGCGCAGGTGATGTAGATGCAGGAGATGTCACATGAACCCCCGGCTGTATACACCCGGGATCTACTCCTACCCAAACTAACCAAGCCTTGCTCAAGGCCTAAGCCCACGATCATTCGGCCACGCTCCAATCGGTACAGTTGCATTAGGGTTTGCCATGTAGAGCGACAAGGTGCTGAGTCACTCGCATAGAGTAAAAGAAGCAGAAAAAAAAACATGTCAAGTCCGCACAGATAGAAACCATTCGATTCACGCGAACGTCTGCAGGCGAGAGTCACTGGGAAGCAAAGGGCGTCACTGGACCTATATTGCGCTACAACACCCCTCCCTCGGAAAGTTTTGCAAAACTGGCACAAGGTTGACGTCGCGGACCACACTACCCTCCGACGCCATATTTTCAGTTTCTAAACCTGATCGTGGACCGTGGTTCAGAACTTATCAGTTCTGTTTGGGGAAAAGGAGAATACTGGTAGATAGTCTTTTACCTCTCTCTCCCTTCATGCTATTGCTGCACGGGACCAGTTGCCTGAAAACGTAGTAAATGCCTGACGTTCCGAGTGAAATAAGATCGGTGTCTCTCTGAAAAAGGTATGCCCCCTTCGACCATCTACTGCCATGATCTGCCGAACAATAGGTAGTGTGGTGACAGTGGGAGCATGGAGGCGGAGCCCATCTGCTGTATCGGGCTCAATTCTCCACCAATGGCGCTCTGGCCGCGTTGCGATCCGCACCGCGTCATACCCCCTATCGCTTGCAGGGATAATGATTGTACTCTTGATAATTTGATGCTCATATGTTTGTGACAATGACATTTCCGCTCTGAAACCGTTTTTTGAAGATTTCGGTCCGAGATGAAGCATTACAACAGAAGAATTCTGACTTCATCAAGACGTATGTGGTGTTGTTCTGCATTAGTGCCGTTATCGCCACCATCGTCCAAGTGACTGTCGTTCGCCGAATGTTCCGAATCGATCCATCACGAATTCGAATTTGAATATTTATCTCTTGCGAATGCCTCTTAGGGATATTTTTATAATAGGCAGTCATTTCCTATGATCCTACCAACGAAACGAATTCGCGATGTTATTTAGAAAAATTGTTGCTTCTCATCAAAGGGCAGCGAGAGGCGTGGCTGCCTATACTGGTCAACTCCCACACATTCAACTCTCTCTGACTTTCAAACTCTCCGTGCTCTCGCGGCCACGCCTCCTGGTTTCCTCAGTGATGGAATACAAGTAGGACCATACAGTGACGGGTTTTAGAATATTTGAAAAAAAACATACTACACAAAAACCATATTGCTCATAGGGTTCAGCCTCATGTCAAGCAAAAGCTGTTTCTAAGGAGGACCACTCCCCTTCTAGTGAGACGATACCATCTAATCAAATGCTAATCTTGCTCCCTCAAGATCAAATACTACCCCGGCTTTCTTGACTAGCACTTGACTCTAGTCACTCATCGATACTTGTGCCTGTTAGACCGCGTTCATACTTGGCGACGGTGGCAAGCCATTACGATTGCTGAGCGGTCTTCACGAGTTTCTAAAGCAAGTCCAAGACTTAGCTACCCATCCCTGCAGCCACTCCCACATTTCAGCGTGGTCGTGATTTTTCAAATTTTATTCTATAACTTCTGCTTTTGTGCCTTTTTTGCTCTTTTGTTATTTTGCATAACTAGCTGAAAAGGAGTGTACATTGGCACATGGGCAACTCACCCATTTTTTGAAGGATTTGTTGAAAATTTCAACTTTTCATAACTTTTTTCAACGTCGTTGTTTTCACTCCCACTCTTCATGCAACGAAACTCGCATACGTGCACTTATGTAGTGGCACATTAGGTCCCGCCCCCTCAGATACGCCCACTTTTGCTGCTGTCTGCGAAATTTTGATACTTCCGAAATTGTTGCATTTTTGGACTGCTGCGTGGAGCTCCGGCCACTTTGTAGAATCCCGCCCACATTTGAGCAAATCGGCAGGATAGAGTCTCAACCTGCGTGCTAGGGTCTTTCCGTCACTCGAGACAAACTTTGAGTTTGAAGCGCCTTTTTATGGTCATAGAAGACGTACCGATTTGTTCTCAGTTTTACGTACACTAGTGGTGGTTATGCTATTCTGTTGATTATGACTATTCCATATTCACTTTGATTGTTCACTTTTCCTCGTGACAGCTAATTATATAGCAGTCCCTGTAATTTTCTAAAGATTTCTTCTATCTATTATGTGTCAATCTAGTGATTTTAACGTGTCGGCATAGGTTTTCTTTATGTATACGCTGGTGATGTATAGTTTGTAACACTGTAATTTGTCGGGGATGGCGAGCGCAGCGCGGCATGAGCCCGCCTGCGGCTGCCTTGCTCTACCAATGGCGATCGGGAAAAGATCAGTTCAGGAGGAAAACAACCATTGGTGGCAATGCCGCAGGTCGCGACCGCTGACTGCGACCCGACTGGTTGCGGTGATATCAGCTGTGTACAGGGGGGGGGCAAAAAAAGTCACTTTTCTTCCTTGACTTTCGAGGCGCTATAAGTTACACTTTATAAATTCTGATCGGACATTTCTACCACCATATTAAAGAGCATATTAAATACTATCATGATACTCCGCCACAGCCTTCTGGAGGAGCGCCATCGAGAGATTCTGCCACGCGACCGTGAGTGGGTTCAGCGAGATCGTTGATTTCTCCGCCACTGTAGACCACCCTGTTGAGCTCCGCCCGAACCGGGTAATTGAGGGGTTTAGGTCAGGTGACCTACTTAGATATTCCATCTTCTTCAGGTACTCAACGTCCTTCCATTCCAAGTAGGCGAGAGTTTCCAACGCCCTTCGAATCCACGTGGTGTCACCCAATCCTGTAGCAGTACAAAGTTTCCAAGAAGGTACGGGCGACGACATGTGGAGGAGGATATTCTTCTCGAGTTGCTCGATGTAGCCAGCGCTCACCTTCAGTCCGGGGTCCACGAAGAAAATATTGGTCTTTCCATTCCAGGTACGTCCGGTCCATACCATCAACCCGCGCCTTGGCGACTGTGGTGAAGATGATGTCCTAGACCGTGGCGACGTTGTCGGAGCTGCTCGATGTTGGAGGTCTTCCAGATTGAGAGTACTGGTCTCCAGGTAGCTATCCATGGGTGACTCCACACTAGAAGTTTCGCAGCTGTTTGGAGGTGACATGAATTCCAAAGGTCTTCTCCATCAGGCTGCGACTGGAGATGACTTCATATTTTGGTGTACATGAAGGTGATGGGCGAGAGCCAGCTCCTGCTTATCGAGGAACATCTTGGGTATCTTCTGCCCTGGTACTCGTTTCTTGGGCTGCAAAAACTTTGCTGATATGTGACTCGGTCGAAGTGACTTTTTTTGCCCCCCTCCCCCCTGCATGTTGAAAATTCCTGTCCGCTGCGGACGAAAATTGGTGCGGTGCCAAACTCGTTCTTCACCAGATGTGAAGCGAGCAAGTGACAAGACTGTATCATGTCGTTCGTGCAACTCGTTTTCTACCAGTTGTTGTCGCATACCCGCTTCAACAACTGACAGAGAACGGGTTTGGCGCCGTGGCGCACTCATACTGCCTGACACGCTTCTTCGTCCGCAGCGAACTAGGAATTTATAGGTAATATATGTAGTTGCAGTCCGGAGAAACAGTATCAGGAGACGTGGAATGAGCCCACCAGCGGCTGCGTTTTCTATCAATGTGGCCAAGTTTAGGTAGGATATAATCAGTGGCAGAAAACGCAGAGGGTGAGCCCATTCCACTCCTCTTCACACTACACCGCCTAATCGCGATATTGTTGCATTTGCTTGTGCCAAATTCTACTTTACATGGCAGTGCCTGTTGATTCAACGTGGAATTCACGTTTTTCTTTCTTCACCCTCGACGGGATAGACTTATATTGAAATAGGAAGAGTTCAGAATGTGAATAAATTCATCTTCTCTCATCTGTGTGCAGCACAATACGCTCCGCAAACGCGCTCATCATACTATACTGGGCTGTAGGGTTGCCATACTTTGCGACAGCTCCACCAGCGGCGATCAGCGTTTTGAGCGTCCAGTGGTTAGGAATGTGTAGTTATCGGTCTGGCGGACAGCAGCGTCCGCGAGCGTCCACCTGCGCTTCGAGGGACTAGGAAAGTATGGATGTCTATCTAACGTGTACCAGCGTAAACCAGCGACCAGGAGTAGAGAGTATGGGAAAGTGGGAGGGTAGAAGATTATTGGTAGAGTATGGGGAAGTACGAGGGAGGAGAAAGCTGAATTCAACGTCGTGAAATCGTGGCGTGTACAATGCACCGTACTACTGCAAAATAGCGTACTCGTTGCTGGTAGAAGCTGGGTGACGCTAAACTGCTACCCACTTTCCCAGTTGCTGAGGATGACACACGATTGAAACGCTGACAGTCGCTGGTGGTTGCTGCTGGGAACTGCCGCAAAGTATGAACAAAGAGACGGGCACCATCGCATTTCAATGCAAGCCGCCCGCCTTGGCACACTCTCCAACTGCACGTGTGTCCTCTTCACCTGTTTCCCTGGCGCCAGTTTCCGGCTTGCTTTCCTACCAATAGTGATCGCTTTCTCGTGGATTCATGAAAAATACAACCAAAGGTAGAAAACTTCGCGTGTGGGCTCGCTTCATCCCTCTCGACACCGCCATGACTGATTGCATCGTCATCAACTGTATACATCCAGAAGAAATATTGAAAATTATGGAAGAATGATAGAAACTCCATCAGAAGTAGCAGAAGATATTTTATTCGAAAATAATCTGCAAAGAAAAGAAAATAATCTGGAAAGAAAAAATAAGAAAGAGAAGATTCTTCCAAAGACTGACTTTTGCAGTATCGGGATCGCAAAACAGCGACAAAAAACCACACTGCCGTTAGCCCGTATTTTTGCGTAATTTTGTAAGTTCTATGCTTTATTTTCGGTTTTTTTTTCCATGAGCGTGACGTATTGTTAGTACTTCCACGTTACCTTCTAACAGCGCCAGTTAGCTTACCCACTTCTCCTTATGTAATACAGGAACTGATTCCGAAACTAATCGTCACCTTCCGACCACCTGTATTCATCCTTGCCAAAGAGAAAGTTCTAAGCTTTACAACGCTGATAAAAGTGAAGTAGATTACTAGAGCGGCATTCCACACTGGTAAGATAAGATACAGTAGTGAAAACAGCTCATTCACCTCAACTAGTGTGCTGCATTTGCACCGCTCTCTTCCCGCATGTCGGCGGCTACAGCGATAGTTGATGATGATATCGATGAGTAAGTTGCTGTTCTGGGGTTCATGGACAAACATAACAGCGCAGTCAACGCTGACAGAACTTGGTCAATGAGGTTCTAACTCTAACACGAGATCCTCCAAAGGCGCTTTTTATAAGACCCTCCCTTTTCCAGTTGAGCAATGTACGAGCATAAAACAAAAGCCTAGACAGCGTTCATACTTTGCGGAAAGGAAAGCGTAGATATCGATCTAGCGCAGGGCACTTCCTGTCGCTGGGGAGAATGACCACGTCAGTACCACCTCCGCGAGGGATGCCTTGGTACGACACCCCCTCCGACGCAAATTGGTACACTCTCGATGCGTGATTGAGGCCGCGCAAGCCTGAAAAAAGCAAGGCCGTCAACAAAAAAAACAGTGAACTTACTTCAAAGAGCGGATTAGACGTCTTAAAAACAAATATATAACAAATCAATCCAATAAAAAAATCAGGCCAGAATTCTATCACCTGTTTTCCTTCGACCATGTCGATGAGTTCGTCAAGGAATCTGAAAAAAAGAAAAAGCCTGAATCAACTCGAAACAGCACACTGCACACACAAAACCAGGCACAGTAAAAAAATACACAGATTACAGTAAGACAATAGTGACAAGATAACAAAGAGAAAAACCTCACCTCTGAGCCAGGTAACGAGAAGAAAACCTGCTCCATGTAGGCTACCGCGCTCACAGGCACCGCAGGCTACCGCGTGCAACACGCGCTGCGGTATGCCAATACACTG